AAAAAAAAAAATTGTAACAAAAGAGGTCTTTTCAGACAAAATCCATCTTATTAGACTTTAAGCATGCATCCTTTTTTTTTTTTAAACCTTAAATATACATTGAATGACACATGATGTGTATTTTTTTATGTTAAAATGATAACCTCCCCTTTTTATAATTGAGAATAAAAATGATAATTAAACAAAAATGTAAGTCGCCCACGATTAACGGTCAAGCATTGCCCTCCCCAAAATATTACAAATACATTGACGACACAAAGATTTTTGTTTGCTTGCTTTTTTCTATTTAATTAAAATTAAGCCCCTGTTTGAATCGTTATTTGGGAAAAATAATATTTTGTATATTAATTTTTAAGAAAATGTGTAGTTAATAAGTATGGAAAAATTTTGGATTTACGTGCAAATTTTTTATTGTGTGAATATGTGGTTGAAAATGACTATGTAGAAAAAAGAGTTTTGAAATAATGGTTATTAAACAAGGGGCTAAGTATCGACTCATTTGCCCATTACAAAGTAAGACTTGTGCAATGCACATGCCATTTTAACATTTATTTAGCTGGAGGTAGTTGGTAAAAACCTGGTTTGCTGTGTTATTAAGAGGTTGAGGACTGTGGTGTCAAGATTTGAAGGTCAGGGTTTCATTTGCATGTTTCATAAAGGTTAGAGATCTCAACTGCAATTTTCCATAAAGTAATGTAAATATGAGTTACCAATGGAGAAACTGAGTGACCATTAGTGAAACTATTATTAACTTTAGTGGCTACACGAGTGACAAATGCTTAAATGCCCATTCTAAAATTTTACACGTATGTCAGTGACCATTGGAGAAATTAACCCTTTATTTTGTGAACGAAAACCATTATGTTGTTTGAAGATCTTGTGTTACCTTTTGACAATTGCAGAGCTATCTATTTCTGTAATCATCCTTTTCTCTTCATTTCTAATGTTCCCATGTCAGAATTTGGACACAAGAACGTCACTGGACACAATATATTGCAATTTCTAACATGCCTATCATTTTATATTGCACAATGAGAACATACAGAATGGCATCAAGAACATATAGAGTGGCTAACTTGAACCATTCAAGATACTTTTGAATCTTCTTAAAGATAATAACACAAAATAGTCTTATCCCAATGGATCTATCTATCTATCAAGATTGTACATCACTTAGAAACCCTGCCTGTTTTATGGTGCACATTGAGAACATATAGATGACATCTGGTTCCAAGTTCTGTTATTTCATGGTCTTGTGGTCAATCTCCATCCTTTTCTCTATCTCTTGCTCGGTACAAACAGATCCACATTTAGGGTGAAAAGACTCAGCAGATATTGCTTTGATTTGTATAATTGACTTATGCTTTGTTTACATGAAATGTATCTCAAATGGGTCTTAATTTTGTTTGTATTTGCATGGCTTTTGACTTCATGGATCACGCCCCTGTGAGGCTTTTGTATTTTACTGCTTTTACTTGTTACAGGTACGCAGAGGGGTAGACAGAGCAGATATATACAGTATTGCCCTATCTCCAAATGTTCAGTGGTTGGCCGTGTCGAGTGACAAAGGCACTGTCCACATATTCAGTCTCAGAGTGCGGGTAGTTGGTGATGACCTGTCAACTGAGGTCACTGGTGTTAATTGTTCAGCATTAGATCATCAAAGTTCTTCAAACTCTCTTGATGGTCTCGTCTCGCCAAATACTGGTGCTAATCCCAGCTCATCATTGTCTTTCCTGAAAGGTGAAATAAGCATTTTAAATTTGAAACTTATTCTGTCTGTAAATAATTATCTGCGTAGACTTGAGCTTGATGGTAAGTGGTGCTCCCAGATTAATCTGTTGCTGCTTCACATGAAATGATGTTTTTACATAAGCTAGAGCCTTCTAAAGATGCGACTCAAAACATTGTTTTTAACTAATCTATTGCCAAACCCTCAACGTGATTGCTTTATGTAAAGTTCTGCTTTTGTCTATTAAATTTGAGGCATTTAGCATATCTTATGCTGAAGTCTCGTGTTTTTGAAACTTTTCCAGGGGTTTTACCTAAATATTTCAGCTCAGAATGGTCATTTGCTCAGTTACACTT